TGATCACTTGTCAGGATGTTTTCTTTGCTGATGGGGCACTGAAGCATGTGCAGGCAAAGAGAGAGAGAGAGAAGATGTTGCAAAGAAGGAGCAAAGGTGTGAGGAGTGTGAGCAGCTCTCCCACAGATGTGATCGCAGCAAGAAACAGCCTCAGCAAAAACTGCTCAGAGCTTCAGAATCCTACAGAGATCACTGGGATCTCCTTCCCATTACCCTGCTCCAATAACCTGCCAAGCCTGAAAACCACTCTCCAGGTTGGCTCTGGGCCATTGCCAGTTGTCCCTCCACTGTACATATCTGTCCCTGCATGGAGACAAACAGATCCACAGCCCGGAGATAAACCAGTGGACAGCTGGGCCAAAGCTTCCCCCTTCCAGCATTCCTGGCCTCTCAGCCCACTTCAGATCTGTTTTCCTTCTCTGTGCATCCCCTCCTCTTTTTTCTGCTCTGTTTGCCCTTTGGCTTGGTGCTTCCCTGGATTCACCTCCTGTGGCACTTGGGGCACCACGGTTTGGGTGGAAGAGCCCATTGCCATGGGGAAAGGCCTTTGCAGGATCACCCCCAGGCCAGCTGCTGCTGGTATCTGGTGCCAGCAAGGTGGTGTCCATGCCGGAAGGGGACCTGCATCTTAAATACTTCTTCATGCTCCTTTACAGCCTCAGAGCAACTGCCAGAGCAGATCAGGTTGCTGCATACTCATTCCAGGCTCCCACCTCAGAGCAGCTGAAAGCAGATACTTGAGCAGGCTGAGCAAAAGCTCTGGGCTGGAGAGTCCTGCCTGCACTTGGGCGAGTGGGAGTTGGTGCTCAGCATGGGGCTGGGGGTGGGTTCCTTGCTGGCTAAGCCTTGGGTCGCTGCCTTTTGCACCAGCCCCTGCTCCCACCCACCCCCAGCCAGCCCTGGGCACCAGGGAGGAGAATGGCTACTGGGGGGAAAAAGAGGAGGAGGAGGGAGCAGGTGGGGTGGGGAGGAAGGAAAGACAAAGCAAAAGGGTCCAACAATGGGTGCTGGACACGGGGAATGATGGAGAGATGAGGAAATGGGTGTAAATGTGTTTGGCCAATTAAAGCTTCTCCCTTTGTTTTGCTGCCTTGCAGATAGCTACAGGAACACTTAGTGGGTGGAAAAAGAGGAGGAGGAGGGAGCAGGTGGGGTGGGGAGGAAGGAAAGACAAAGCAAAAGGGTCCAACAATGGGTGCTGGACACGGGGAATGATGGAGAGATGAGGAAATGGGTGTAAATGTGTTTGGCCAATTAAAGCTTCTCCCTTTGTTTTGCTGCCTTGCAGATAGCTACAGGAACACTTAGTGCAGAGCCTGGGGTCTGGATAAGCAACTCTTTTAGCAGCAGGAAAGGTTGTTAAATATTTATTTGTAAACCTGGAGTCTTTATCTCTAAAATGTAGTCAAGTTCAATAAAATTTGATTTGGCTGGAGCAGCTTAGAGAAGACAGAGCTCTGACTCAGAGCTGTGTCTCAGCGGCTTTGTGTGAAGCCATCAGGCCAGAGATGGGGGGGCTGAGCTCGAGGCTGACCCACACCCAGCCCCACAGCTACAACCACAGCCCAACCTGGGCTCCTGTGTGGAGCTGGGAGCACCAGCCCTGCTGCTGTGACACCGCAGCAAGATGGAGACAGGGTGGGGATGTGCTCCCTGGCCTTGTTCAGCCCCCCCGGGCACTGCAGGACCTCCTGCTTGCCCAGGGATACAGCTCGCTTTGTCCAAAATTGCCTGTTGTTGGATGCTTTCAAAAGCAGCTGGTTCAAGGGTGAATGTCTCCCACACTGTAATTTATGGCTGCCAGGTGGGGGTTATAGCTGACTTGGGGATTTTTGCTGCTCGCTCACTGTCAGCGTGGCAGATCACTCTGTGCCAAGGAGCACCAGCCTGGCCCTGACTGGGTGAGCAGGGGACAGCCCAGGGACAGCAGTGACCTTGGCAGGCATGGCCAGGCATGCTGCCCACCCTTCAGAGCAGGAGGGCAGCAGCAGCCTCAGGAGCAAACCCACCCTCCTGGGCTTGGTTCCCTGCAGCCATTCCTCCTCCAAGGGGGCAGCCTCAGCGCTCCAGCCCAGCCCCAGGCTGCATTTCCAGGGATGTGCCCAGAACAGCAGCTTTCCTCCCAGCCTGAGACACACAGCGGGTCCTGTGCATTTAGCACCAGGGCATGGTGGCTCCACTGCCCCCATCTGCTCCTCGGGTCAAGTCTAGCACCTTCCCCGGGGCAGGGGTTGTGCTTTGGAGCCCTCGTCCCCAGGCAGGAGGGTAGCACAGAAAGGGGTCAGTGGACACCATGGCTCTGGGCATGACTTTTGCTTTGATTTGCACTGGTTTGCTCATGGCCTAAAGACAGAACGTCCAGCAGCTGCTCCTTTCTTATCAATTCCTTTTTTGTGTGAGAAATGAGAGCCACGTTCACGCCTGAGGGCTGCAGCTCTCCCTGGGCTGGCCTGGCCTGTGCGTCACAGCCGTGTGGCCTGATCCTGCCTGGCAGCTCGTGCTGGGGCTGTGGCTGGGCACATTGCACTCTCTTCCTCAGAGTAAATCTGGGAGGACTTCAGGCTTTTGGAAAGCCCCTGTTGACACTTCCAGTTTCCTGCTGGCAGCAATTGCTGGGAGCATCCACTACCACTGCAGGGGGATGTGTGGCAGTCCCTGGGAAGCTGTGTGCAGGTGCTTGACCTCAGCGCACATGAAAATCATTATTTGAGTCTTTTTGAGAAGAGCACCTCTTAATACCCACCTCACCTCATGCCACGGTTGGTCCTCTCAGCAGCTAGAGGTAAATAGGAACCAGAAGTGATTTAAAGCTCATCTTAGCCCAGAATTTTTCAGCTTACTCATTGTTTTTTTTCTCCCAAAGCTCTTCTGTGATTCTGGCTATTAAGATTATGGAGAGTTTTTTTGTCAAGGATTTTTATTTATCATAGATTTAAATTTAGCTGAGAACTAATAACGTGTGAGGTATGTCTAGACTTTAATCCAAGTGGGTTTGTCTCATCTTTACCATCATGCAGATTTTGCTTCCTTCATCTCTCATATCTTTGCTTATATTTTAGCCATTGGTGCCAGGGCACTCCCAGCAGCTCTGGCCTCTGCCCATCCACCAAGGCTGGTGCAGCACCAACAGCACAGAGCTAAACGTGTTGCAGGTGCACTCCCCTTCCTCCTAGTGGAAGGGCATAATTTGACCCTGGGGGGTTGAGGTGATGCTGTGCTGATGCAGAAGCCATGTGTGGGGCCCTGCAGGGGGATTCAGCTCCCACCCCCTGCCCCATGCCCAGCAGGGACCAGCGCAGCCGCACGCACGGGCAGTGCTGAAATTTCAGCTCAGAACACAGCCAAATAAGGCCGCTGCCTGGCACGCTAACGAGCTGAAGGCTTTTCAGCCCTGGTATAATTAAGGCCCTTAGACTGTATTTTGTTTTGCATACTGTGTTTTGCTTTCTTTGATGGCTTTCTCAGCGTGGCTGTGAGGAGTGGGAATTGGCTCCTGAGAAACGCCGGCGAGGGTGGCTGCGCAGGGGCTGGCGCTGGCACTGGGTGGGCAGGAGGAGGGGGTCACGAGCTGCCCCCCAAGACAGGAGCAACAGCAGCCTGGGAGGCCCTGGCATCTCTGCACCACCCTGGGGAGCTAATCCACCTGCTGCCCTTTGCCTGAGAACTGCCCTCCAGTGGTGCTGCCCAGCCCCAGGCCCACTCAAGTGGCATCGCAACGGTAGCAGCAGCGCTGCTGGTGTTTGTAAGGCTGCCCAGCCCCACCAGCACTCAGGAGGGAATAGCACATGGAGTGACAAATTGTAAATACCTGACAAACGTCCTCCTTGCAGCCTGGCCCAGGTGAACCCACTGGAAACACTTCCACTGGCCTGGGACATGCTAACGTGGGGCCAGTGGGAGGGTGCTCAGCCCCACTACCAGGGGAGCTGCGCAGGATCAGCTCCCAGCACTGCACCTCTTTGCTTTGGGGGGATGAGCTTTGGGTGGTCCCCAGAGGCCAAGCCCCATGGCAGAGGCAGCAGGAAAAGGGGATGGAGAAGGACAGTGAGCCAGAAGGAAACCACAGGAGGATTTCCGTGGGGATTCCAGCACCTCACAGCCAGAGCACCTGGTGTGCCAAGGCCTGGTGGTTTCCGATTGGTGCTGGTGGACATTTTAATGGCCAGTCCATTATCTTTCATCCGTGCATCTTGCAAAGAAATGTTAAATATTTTTGGGGGGAACAAAAGTCATATATCTGTATGAAATGATGAATGTAAACAGATGCAGTGGAAATAACGCACAGAACGCGTACCAGGCCCATAAATAGTGCCAGAGCAGGGGAAGTAATGCACAGGATAGATAATGGATGGATACAAACAGAGCCAATGGAACTAATGTATTCAGTATATTCAGCATTAGTCATAAATAGCATTAGTGGAAGCAGTGCAGTGTACACATAACAATAGATATAAACACGATCTGGAGTAGCTGTACATCTAATATGCAATATTAATATGATTTGATCCCTCATAACAGCTTGAACAACAAGGAAATAAATGCAAAAGAGGCAGCATGACAGGGAGGTTCTGCCTGCTGATGGACTGGGGTGGTTCCAGAACATAACCCAGAGTGGGTCTCCCAGCCCTGTGCAGGGAAGGCCAGGCCTTTCCCAGCTAGGATGGGGCAGACCCCCTTACCCCACGGGCTCTGGCCCTCACGTCAGGCTGTAGATCCAGAGAGTGGTCGCGGTGCCTCAGAGGGGAGTGGGACAGGTCTGCACCTTGCAGGCAGGCATGGCAGGGGACAAAGGACTGACCCTCAGGGCACACCAAGACCAGGCTGCTGCGGAGGAAGGGAACCAGTCCCCAGGGAGCTGTCACCACTGCTCCCTGCTTGGACACCCCCCGCCAGCTGACTCCACACAGGGCTCCCCCAGATGCTCGATCCCGCGCTTGGCTCCTCTGCATTTGCAAAGCAGCCTTTATATTCAGGCTCCATCTACAGGGAACTGAATAATTTCAAGAGCTTAAAATAGGATATAGATAGATGTGTTTAGTATTTATTTTTTTTTTTAAGAAGCTGAGGAAGTGAGTTCTGTCTGACACAGATTCCTCAAGGCTTTCCACTCAAAGTCCGTGCATGTTCAGTCAGCAAGTGAAAAGTTGGGGAGGGAGGAGGGGAGGAGAGATGGTCTTGTAGCCGAAGGGCTGGATTTCAGCTGGAAAAATGAGACCCTCTGCTTTTCCTTAACAGCAGCTCTACCAAGATGGTGAACCTTTTCCTGTGGTCACACCCATTAAGTGCTTACATCCACCCTGCTCTTTCTCTCCCCTGTGTTACCTGCAGGTGAGAGATAGGATGGTAGCTGGGGAGGCGAGTATGCGCAGCCCAATCCTGGCCTGCTGGCAGCCAATCCTCCTGCTGATGTTGGGATCCATCCTGTCCGGCTCCGCCACGGGCTGCCCGCCGCGCTGCGAGTGCTCTGCCCAGGAGCGCGCCGTCCTGTGCCACCGCAAGCGGTTCATGGTCGTGCCAGAGGGGATCCCAACCGAGACCAAGCTGCTGGACTTGGGCAAGAACCGCATCAAGACGCTCAACCAGGATGAATTTGCCAACTATCCTCACCTGGAGGAGCTGGAGCTAAATGAGAACATTATCAGTGCCATTGAACCTGGGGCTTTCAACAACCTCTTCAACCTCAGGACGCTGGGGCTCAGGAGTAACAGGCTCAAGCTGATCCCCTTGGGGGTGTTTACTGGACTCAGCAACCTTACCAAGCTAGACATTAGTGAGAACAAAATTGTGATCCTCCTAGATTACATGTTCCAGGACTTGTACAACCTCAAGTCTTTGGAGGTGGGGGACAACGACCTTGTCTACATCTCCCACCGAGCCTTCAGCGGTCTCAACAGCCTGGAGCAGCTGACCCTGGAGAAATGCAACCTGACCTCCATCCCCACAGAGGCCCTGTCTCACCTTCACGGCTTGATCGTGCTGCGGCTGCGCCATCTGAACATTAACACCATCCGGGATTACTCATTCAAAAGGCTGTACCGGCTCAAGGTCCTCGAGATCTCACACTGGCCCTACCTGGATACTATGACTTCAAACTGCCTCTACGGGTTAAACCTGACCTCCTTGTCCATCACCCACTGCAACCTGACGTCCATCCCGTACGTGTCGGTGAGGCACTTGGTTTACCTCCGGTTCCTGAACCTGTCCTACAACCCTATTGTCACCATCGAGGGCTCCATGCTTCATGACCTGCTCAGGCTGCAGGAGATCCAGCTGGTGGGAGGGCAGCTCACCACGGTTGAGCCCTTCGCCTTCCGTGGCCTCAATTACCTGCGCATCCTGAACGTGTCAGGGAATTTGCTGACCACCCTGGAGGAGTCAGCCTTCCACTCGGTGGGCAACCTGGAGACGCTCATCCTCGACAACAACCCCTTGGCCTGTGACTGTCGGCTGCTCTGGGTTTTCCGGCGGCGATGGAGGTTGAACTTCAACAAGCAGCAGCCCACCTGCTCCACCCCCGAGTTTGTCCAGGGCAAGGAATTCAAAGACTTCCCCGACGTCCTCCTGCCCAACTACTTCACCTGCCGCCGAGCACGGATACGGGACCGCAAACCTCAGCAGATCTTCGTGGACGAAGGCCACACGGTCCATTTTGTCTGCCGGGCAGATGGGGACCCGCCCCCCACCATCATGTGGCTGTCTCCCAGGAAGCACCTCATCTCTACCAAAACCAACGGGCGGCTCACAGTCTTCCCTGACGGCACGCTGGAGGTGCGCTACGCCCAGATTCAGGACAATGGCACCTACCTATGCATCGCCAGCAACGCGGGTGGCAACGACACCATGCTGGCCCACCTGCACGTGCGCAGTTACTCCCCAGACTGGCCCCACCAGCCCAACAAGACCTTCGCCTTCATCTCCAACCAGCCCAACGAGAGCGATGCCAACAGCACGCGCGCCACCGTGCCTTTCCCCTTTGACATCAAGACTCTCATCATCGCCACCACCATGGGCTTCATTTCCTTCCTGGGCGTCGTGCTCTTCTGTCTGGTGCTCCTGTTCCTGTGGAGCCGGGGGAAAGGCAACACCAAGCACAACATTGAGATCGAGTACGTGCCGCGCAAGTCGGACGCGGGGATCAGCTCCGCCGACGCGCCGCGCAAGTTCAACATGAAAATGATCTAAGCAGGCAACAGTTTGCAAATAATAATGGTGTTGGTTTTTTTTTTTTAAAGAACAAATGAACAAATTAAAAAAAAATAATTAGAAAACAAACATTGCTACAAACATACCGACCTCTCTCTCTCTCTCCTTCACCATGTCCTCCGTCCCTCTCCAAACCCACTGCACCCGCACTGTCACCACCTCTCTCTTCCCTCCTCCCCCTTCTTCTTTATACCAGGAAAACATTCAGCTGGTGTTTTCAGGACTCCTGTGTTTGTAAGGACTTTGTCTGATTGACTCTGGTGTCAGATCTAACCCTGAGAGGGAAATACAACAAAGGGGGGGAAAAAAGGAAAGAAAAAAGAAATAAAATCAATAAAAAGTTACGAACTTTCTTCTGTAACTTTGATTTCAATAATTATGGATTTTTATGAAAACTTGAAATAATAAAAAAACCCTATTTCCTATAGATAGCTGGAATGCAAAATCTTGACTTCTTGATCTGTCCAGTCTGTATCTCTGGCCAGTGCTCACCCACTTTCTCACCTGGAGGCATTTTCCAGCTACCTCGATAAGAACACCCCCAGGCCAGGGCGAGTGTCCCACATGTCCTGCTGACGCCAAAGGTTCATGCTCCCCTCAAAGGCACTTCCTGCGCTGTCCTGGGCCCTGCACCACACCCGGAGGAGTCTGATGCTTTTCCTCAAGGACCAGCTGTGGTTTTATAGCCTGTTCTACACCCACACAGCACGGGGCTGCGGTGCTGGTCACATGCAGGTTTGGGCACAGGGGGGAAGGCTTTGCCCGAGCCCTGCTGGGGGCACCTGAGGATCCTCCTGCCTCTCACTGGGGAGAGGACTTTCTGCCTGTCTCCTCTTCCACAGGGAAGAAGCTGTTGTGCTCTCACCAGCTGTCCCAGCAGGCAGGGATGCCTGCAAGGGAGCCCCTGCCTCCCCACCTGCCTGCAACAAGTCTCATGGTAGGTGTTGGAGCCGAGCAGCAGCCAGGCTTGCAGGCATCTTCAGGCACGTCCAAGGCAATGTTGCTTCGAGGCTTGCAGAGGAATAAATATAAAATTACATGCATTTATAAACACACACAGAGCCTGAGCCAGCTGTAACCCACTGGCTGCCCTGCTGCCACCTCCAGCATGCCCATCACTGTGGTGTCTGGTCACCAGGCAGTGCCCTCCCTTTGCTGAACTCTGGTACTTGGGATCAGGAGGTCTGGGAGGTTTGTATTGTCTCACAGAGGAAAAGGGGAGGAATGGGCATTAAACTGGTCCCTGGGGAGGGTTGTGCTGAGCCTTGTGTCCTTTGCAGGACAGGTGTGACAGTGCCCTGAGACCAGAGCTACCTGCCTGGCACAGGCTGCAGAAAGGCTCAGCACAGAAGTGCAGTACAGCAGGTGAATGAAAAGGAGCAAGTCAGGAAAGGAACCACAGAGGGAGAGTGAAGAGACAGAGAATGATGGGGAAAGAGATGTGTCAAGTCAAGCTTTGAAAATAAGAGAAGTATCATCAGCCCAGCTCATCCCCTCCCCAGTTCTGTGCCAACTTCCCAACCTTGAGAAGGTGTAGAGTGGGTTGAAGGCCATGGCCAGCCCTCCCATGGAGCCTTCCCATAGGAGAAACAAGTCTTGGTCCCATGGTCTGGGGACCCCAGCATAGCCTGACAGCCCTTGGCTGTGCCAAAAGCACAAAACACCCCTGCAGTCAGTGGTAATACAGGCACTCAAGGTTTTTATGTGTGTTACTGAAGCAGGAGGTGCTTCCCATCCTTCCCAGCTGCCACCAGGGCTGATGACACTGCAGGGGCAAGTGGCATCCTGGCCCACCAGCCTTGGTGGCATCTCTGAGGCAGATGAGCTGAGATTTGCATACTTGCTTTGTAAAGCACTTATGGAATCCTCAGGGATCAAAGTCACTACAGGAGGATAAAAAATATGCAACAGGAACCTGGAGTGTTGACAGGAAAAGAATGGATTTGCTTTTCTTCCAATCTAGAAGAACCAACTTGAGACATCTGTGCTCGTAGAGACGGGGAAGTTTTTGCTGGTTTCAGCTTTCTATTCATCTTCAAACAAAACATTTTGTGTTTCTTTCTCCACAGCAGGTTTCCAGAGCTTTGATTTGTTAGTTTCTCATCTCTAACCCATCTTCTCTTTATAACTTTGAAACCAAAACATTTCTTTCAAAAAGCCTTTTGCTTTTGTTTTGCTTTTTAAAAGAGCCAAAGCAAAATGCTTCTTAGCAGCTTCCCCTCCCACCAGTGTTTAACCAACATTTGCAGGGAGTGAAATACAAAACTACCAACAGCAACACACACCAACCTTGCCCGAAGCTGAAAGCTGGCATGCCAGGCTCCAGGAACCCTGAGCAGCAGCTTGGAGCAGCATTCCCCTGGGAGGGACAGGGATGTGCCCAGGGCTCAGCCCTCTGGAGGAAGATGCCAAGCTGAGCACAGCCGAGTGAGCAGCATGTTGGGTGCAGAAACCTCAGTTTTCCTCAAGACTGGCAATCAGCAGTTCAACAGATGGCAGAGGTGGATGGAGGGGGTTCTCCATGTTCCTGGGGACCCATTAACACCAGCAAAAAGAAAGAGCTCCTTAACTGACTCTAGTTACCCTTTTTTAAAGCTGTAATTAAAAAAGCTAATTCAACACACACAGTTTAAAAAAACCCTACAACCATGTCCAACAACAAGGTACTTGCAGCACGAGAGAGCGTCCCAGCAATCAAAGGGAGGGATCAAGTCTCTCACTGTTAAAAAAAAAAAAAAAAGAGTTTTAAATAAAGAAGAGGGAAACTTTTCTGTGTAATGTCTCAGGCTGTGCTAGTGCAGGCTATTTCCCAGCCTGGGACCTGCCCCCAGAGCCACATGTGCCCCCAGACCCACTGCCTCTGCAGCTCAAAACCCTCCCAGGAGTGAAGCTGTGCTGCCTGACCTGCATGGAGCTGAAGCTCAGACTCCCTCATTAGAGAGCTTGCCCCATGCTCTGTGGCACTCCTGCCTGCCACACACTTTATTATCCATACCAGTTTTTTTAATCTTTGATGCTTTGTGAACTGGGTAATCATTTTTTTTTCAGTCACTGTGTGATTAAAGCAGATGGATGGAGCAGAAAAAGAGCATCTCACAACTGGTCAGCATCTCAGCTCAGCAATTTTTATGGCTGGCAAGGATAGGAAAAAAAAAACACACCACAACCCAAAGAACAAACTCCTTTTTTCTCCTTCGCTGAAATGTACAGTGTGTTTCTTCTGCACTTTAATCAGGGATGAGAGCAGTGGCTGGGTTCCAGCATTGCTCTTCAGGTAACCATGGGCTGTGTGTCAGAGCCAGACAGCTCTTCTCACTTGTTTTCTTTTTAATAAGGATAAATAAAAAGCACTTAATAAAACAGCTTACAAGAGGCAGAAAAAACCCCAGGAAGAGATGGGTTTATGAAAAGGAGGGGAGGCTGCCTGTGAAACACACCTCACCTCCCCTACATCCAAGCCCCACGGGGATCTCCATGACAGGCACTGAGTCGGGATGTGGCAGGGAGGAGAACAAAGGTTTCAGCACTTCCAGCCTGGGAACATCACCTGCCCCAAGCACGTCCCTCCTCACCAGGCTCCACCACCCCCCCAAAGCCGTGGGCTGTGGCAGGCACCCAGCTTTCCCCTTGCATTGCCCCAACAGGAGTGGAATTGGGAGCATCCTGCAGGAGAGACATTCACACCCCTCAACTCCCTGCCCCTCCTCTGCAATTCCCTCACCCTCTCAGCTCCTCTGCTGTAGCACCAGGGGCACGTGGCAGCACAGAAAGCCATGTTTGAAGTTGTACCTGCCCCTACTCAGGAGCAAGGAGTGGGGGTTATCAGGCCCTTCCCTTGCTCCTCTGCATCCCCCAGCCCCTTGCTGTGCTGCCTGGCCTTGCTGCCTTCCCCCACTCCTGTCAGCACTTAACTTTACTACTTTTCTCACTAACTTCTCTCTCTTATCTCTGCTTGAGAGTCAATTTTTCACTCTCTCCCTTTTTTATTCCTTATCACTTGCTCTTTTTTTAAAATTATTTTTTAAAGTACTTTCTGCCTTTCTATGTGTTTCTCTTGCTCTGCTGCCATTTCTCTGCATCAGGTGCTCTTCTCTCCCCATCATGTCTGTGCTTCCCACAGCCCCCCCTCCACACACACATTTCTCCCTGATGTCTCTGCCTCCCTGCTCGCCTGGCAGGATCCCATCCTGCTCCCTCTGCAGTGAGCAGCAAAGTGGCACGGAGGGGAGGAGGGGAAGACCTTCAGGCTTCACCTCTTTTGTCCTTTCTCCCATCCCTTCCCTCTCTTCCCCCACCCTCTTGCCTTGTGTCCCCCTTTTCCTACCTCCCCCTTCCTCACTCCTCCTGCTCTCCAGCCTCATGGGTGTTGCAGTGCCATCCCTGCTACCATGTTTTTGCAGGACATAGTGGAAGAGGAAGATTTTGGGATGCCCCAACACCCCAGAGAACATGGCTGGGGGAGCAGCCCTGCTCCCCATGTCCCCAGTCCTGCCATGGGTTCATGCAGCTCCACCAGGAAAAAAACAGGCCTATTGCTTTCCTCCTTTTTCTGGGTCCATGCATGCATATGATAGATTTACTGTGATTCTATAGGTTTATAATTAAAACCCATAAATTCTACTAGGTCTTTTTCTTATTTTCTATAATCTGCAGGATTCAAGGCAATCAAATTTTAACTGGAAAGCATGGATGTGCAGTTAGGTCCTAGTGTAATGGGGAACGGTTCATTTCCCAATCTACCCTCATTACAGGTGGTACTGAAGAAATATTGCCCTGTGAAAGATTTTTTTTCCTCAATTCCCTTTAAAAAATGTACTTACCTGAACAAAGGATCAGAGGACCAATATGAACCATGAGTAAAATACAGTGTCCCCCCACCACTGCAGTTTGTTCCCTCCTGAGGTTTCCAAGCAGAGTTTTCTGGCAGTCTCGGGCAGGTGCTGAGGGTCTCAGGGGAACCCAGGGTGAGCAGGGTGGCAGTTATGGGTCCCTGTCAGCTGTTCCAGCTCAGGTCCTCATCACCAGGCAGCTCCAGCCCCTCCAGAGATTTCATCATGTGCCTGTTAACGATCCAGGTAATAAGACATTTCATTCATACGAGCAAATTTATTCCAGTGGCACTTTAATAACAAAATCAATAAAACTACACTTCCCAGCACAGTTTTATCATATGCTAAAACTACAGGATATTGCCTGGATATACTAAATTCTCTCCCTGAAATAAAGTGCAAAGTTTAGAAGACAGATGACACCATTTGGAGCACTAGTAGGATAATACTCTAATAAATCCATGGCCACCAGGGCACTTCAGAGTTGTCACACACTGCACTTGGTGGCCACTGGGAGCTTCCC